CCTGCTCCACCAGTTGGAAGTCCTTGTGCCCTTTCAATTGACCATCATGCAGGCGTTTTGTTTTTTTCCTTTTAAAGCTTGGTGTTCTCATAGGCGTGAAGGTGCCACTCCTCATGTTCCATCACCTGCAACTTCCTTTCATTTCCACACAAAGTTGGGTCCATGTTCAACAGTTTTGTAGCCCATAAAACCCTATGCTCTATCTCTACATCCAAATGGCACGCCTTGTCGTACATCAATTGATAAGACGAGATGCCTATTGATGACTTATAGTTCATACGGTATGCCCATTGAGAATCATCGAGTTTCATGGATCAATCCTAAGGGGATTGGTCCACTGTCTTTTCCAGTATCCTTTTCAATTCTGTATTTGACAACTCTACTTGACCACTCATTTTAGGGTGGTAGGCCATGGAGACCCGGTGGGTGACACCATAGCAATCAAGGATTTTATTAAATTTCCCTTGGAAGTGCGTTCCTAGGTCACTAATGATGGCCCTCGGGGTTCCAAATCGTGAAAATAATTTCTTAAGGAATTCAAAAACTCGTCTTGTGTCATTGGTGGGTAGAGCTTGAGACTCAACCCACCTCGAGACATAGTACACTGCCACTAAAATGTACTTGTTTCCAAAATATGAAAGGAAAGGACCCATGCAATTGATTCCCCAAAAGTAAAAAAATCTCATAGTTAATGGAAATTGTTTGGGGCATCTCATTGCATTTAGAAATGTTATTTGCCCTTTGACAGATGTCGCATTGCCTCACAAATGAATCAGCATCCCTAAACAACGAAGGCTAGTAGAATCCCGATTGGAGCACCTTTCTCGCTATGTGGTTGCCCCCGTGGTGCCCCCCTGCTGGCCCCTCGTGGCATTGGCTAAAAATAGCCATCATTTCTTTTTCCAGGACACACCTGCGAATGATCCCATCGGCTCCAATCGTGATGAGGTGAGGATCATCCCAGAAGTAGTATCGGAGGTCGGTGAAGAATCTCCTTCTCTCGTTGGTATTCATCCCTTTTGGAAATTTTTTTCCGACCAAATAATTGGCGAAGTCGGGAAACCAAGGGGTGGCACTCTCCACTACTGCAAGCACGAACAATCTTTCATCGGTGAATGTGTCATTTATCTCGCCTTGGAAGTTGTTTCCACCAGGACCTTCGAGTCGAGAGAGGTGGCCCGCCTCAAGGTTTTTAGCTCCTTTCTTGTCTTTGATCTCCACATCAAACCCTTGGTGAAGCATGATCCATCTGATCAAATGGGGCTTGGCGTCGGTCTTGCTAATCAGGAATCAGATGATAGAGTGGTCGGTGTAGGCAATGACTTTCAAAAGCACTAGATAAGACCGAAACTTGTCGAAAGCAAAGATGAGCACCAACAATTCCTTTTCATTAGTTTTGTAGTTCTCTTGATCCCCATTCAACGTCTTCGAGGCATAGCATATGGGTTGGAAGTGCCTTCCCCGTCTTTGTCGCAACATCCCTCTTACTGCATAATCACTAGCGTCGCACATAAGTTCAAAGGGAAGATTCCAATCCGGAGAAACCATGACCGGGCTTTGGTGAGCCTTGCCTTGAGAATGTTGAATGCTTCAAAGCTTTCCTTCTTGAAAATTAAAGGTTCGTCCTTATCAAGAAGCTTCGTCAGTGGTAGAGTGATCTTTGAGAAGTTTTCTATGAACCAGAGGTAGAACCCCGCATGCCTTTGACTGACATTGGTTGTGGAAGCTTCCTTATGGTCTCAACCTTAGCTCTGTCAACTTCAATACCCTTCTTGAAATCTTATGCTCCAACACAATGCCTTCTCAAACCATGAAATATGACTTCTCCAAACTTAAAAAGCTAAATTGGTTTCTTCACACCGTGGGGGACCATCTCTAAATTAGCAAGACAATGAGCAAATGAATCTCCAAATACCGAGAAATTGTCCATCAATAATTTCATGATTTCCCCCACAAGTTTGTCGAAGATAGCCACCATTCATCTCTTGAATGTGGCCAGGGAATAGCACAATTCAAAAGGAATGCGCCTATATGCTAATGTTACAAACGGGCAAGTGAATATAGTTTTAGCTTTATCCTCCGAGGCGATGAAAATTTGGAAGTATCTAGACATTCCATCCAGAAAATAATAGAAATCATGACCCTCTAGCCTTTCTAGAATTTGGTCAATGAAAGGTTGAGGGAAGTGGCCATTTCGAGTAGCGTCATTCAATCGACGATAGTCAATGCACACACGCCATCTAGTCACTGTCCTTATGGGTATATGACCTCTTCCTTCTCATTAACAACTATCGTCATTCCTCTTTTATTGGGTACTAGCTGTGTCAGGCTCACCCATTGACTATTAGAGATGGGGTAAATGATCCCAACATCCAAAATCTTGATGACCTCGGCCTTCACCACTTTTTTCAGATTTGGGTTTACCCGTCATTGAGGTTGGCAGACTGGCTTGACACCTTCCTCCATGAGGATCTTATGTGAATAAAATAATGGGGGACTGATCCCTCAGATGTATGTGATATTTCATGCAATGTCCTTCTCATTACGATGCAAGACCTCAATCAATTCAATATTATGCTCTGATGTGAGATTGGAATTAATGATGACCGGGAGTTTGCCACCACCTCTAAAGAAAGTGTACTCAAGGTGGCTAGGCAACGACCTTAACTCCAACTAGGGTGGCTCCTCCAAGAGTTGGAGGATGAGCATAACACTGCAAGCTTGTTTCGCACCCTTCTTCAAGCATATACACAGCTCTCGATAGACCGTCGCTAAAAATGATGACCCCCAACTCTTTCTCTTGATCTCGTCCCAGTCACCGAGTAGTAACGATAACCACATGCCATGTGCCCGCCTATTCTCCTTATTTGGAAACATGAATCCACCAACCAAGGCAATGAGGTAGACACGTGCATACTGCTCCAATTGTTCTTCGGGGTTTGTGCATTGATCCGAACCTCATGTTGGATGTGATCAACAAGCCACGCGATCAATAGTTGCCTTGCATTCAATGGTGGATGTCCCCGTCCTTGGATTGTCGTCGGCGGCGGCATGTTGAAGCCCAATCGTTCCGTAATCAGGGGCCCTAGCCTTCTTTGGTAACTCTCAAGGTGCCGATAATGGCTTCTCCGGTGATCGTCGACCCGGTGGGATGGCAATGTCTCTGAGAGTGATCATCATTTACCCATCGGGAAAGTGGAAGGTGTGTAACCCAGGGCGCCACCTCTCTGACATCGCCGTCAACAGATGGTTGTCGATCTCAATATCCATGAAGTGTCTCATCATTTCCAAACCCTTCCCCTCTAGATACGACCCAAGTCGGTCATGCTATTCGGGAAAGCGTGAAATTCATTTATGGATGATAGGAATGAGTGACTACTACGAAAAAATGCAAAAATCAGCAAACTATTAGTGAAGGAAAGCAAAATACAAACTCAAAATATTGAAAATTAATGTTTTAGACAGTACGGCATGCTTACCGGATTGTTGTGCCAAATTGCACGGGAACGATGTGTTGCTTGCTCGGTTAAATACATTGCATCCCTTGGCCCGTGATCAATATACAATCGAGGATCGTATATATTGGCACCATCTATAAAACAAAAAATCGAATGAAATCGGACTATTTCGATTACAAAACAATAAATCACAAAATGAAAAGCAAATGGGTACCCTAAGAGTCTCTTCGTCCATTTTTTACAGAAGCCGGATGGATTTTCGACGGATTTTTAGAGGGGAGAGTTGTATGAAATAACTCTAGAAATTTATTATGGTGTGGAGGATGTGCTTTAACCTCAACCACAGACCATAATTAAAATTCATAAAGTGGAGGAAGGGAGGGAGAAAGAATTGTGAAGTGTGGTGGTGTGGTTGAAATGGGGATGGGGGCTGAATTTATAGGAGGAGGAGGCTGTTGAAGACAACCACAATGAGGTCATCGCAGCCGTCGAATGCATTGAAGTTATCGCGACCGTCAAATGCAACGTCTTCATCGCGTCAGACAAAGACGGTGAAGGATGCAGATTGCCGATGTGGGATGCTGTGAGGCGTTGGATATGGGAGGAAAACCAGAATCCGCGGGCAACTCCATCTAACGGGTATGGTTCACGGGCGAGGCGACGCGGATTGCTGATGTGGACGACAGCGAATTCACCGTGTTTCTCAAGGGCGGTGAATACGTTGTTGTCCACGTCTGCTATCAGCCCCCCCCCCCCCCCCCCAGGTTATCTGCAGCCGTTGGATGTTGTGTGAGGCGCGGCTTTTTTTTCTTCTTTTCTTCTTCTCATATCTGACCCCTCATTGCGGTACACATCAGGGGTGACCTATTCACCGCTCTCCACAAACGCAGTGATGGTTCAAAAATAATTCACCGCCGTTGACGATGGCGGTGATGTTTTCACCGCGTTTAATAAAAGCGATGAATTGTTTCATTGTGTTTGACGACAACAGTCTTGTTCAAACATGTGTAGATTGGGAAATTATTTTATAACGTAAGTGTTTTGAGATTTTTTTTTAATGACCAATTTATTACTAGTTCAAATCAAAGTTACAAATCGTTCAAAACAAAACACTTATGACTGCATTGTATAATAAAATGAAACCTTTGTGACAGTGTATGCTTATTACTCTTAATTTTTGCCAACCTATCTAACATGTATACCCACTATAAAGATGTCCATATAGCATTCTCATAAAGTGGGATTGGCTGGGTACCTTTATTACTCTTAATTTTTGCCAACCTATCTACCATGTATACCCACTATAAAGATGTCCATATAGCATTCTCATAAAGTGGGATTGGCTGGGTACCTGAATTCCAGTTACTCATTAGTCTAGGTGTAACATCTGGAATATGAAATCACCTTGTAATGTAGTCTAACATACATTAGTAAACAAGATATAAAATAAACTATGTCAACCTTAACATATTAATCAAATAGTCACATTTATGGACTTCTCTTCATTTTGTAATTATTTTATGACCATAAGTTATTTCAACAAACATCATTATTGATTTATTTATAAATGATACATAGTAATATATCAATAAAATAATGTCATCAAGGTTCGAAACCCCTGGGGCTAAGGGGAATAGAAAGGATAAAACTGAAGCTTACATAATGATAAAGGTTACAAAAACTTCTTCTAATCTACTCTACAAACCATCTTTTCATCAATATCCAATAGATACTAGCCCTCTTCTCTTTCCAAGCCATTAACATTCATCTTTCTTTCACCAGGGCCTTTGTAAACCACCAATGTTGAACTGGGTATGAATATACGCATTCTCTGAAATGAAAGGTACGTGAGCATAGCCCCCTGCAAGGGCACACCTCACACACTGCAGCAGAATCAGTATATAAGCAAACCCAACTCCTGCCCAATAGTACATTCCCAACCTTCCCCCGAAGTGAATCAAAGGGAAGAAATTGCTAATGAACCATACTATCTGCAACGATGTCTCCAACAGCAATCCCATCATGAGATGGAACCTGAAGAAGTGAGGACATTCTTTGTTCTTCACAATCCCACCGTAGGCAAAGAAGCAGTAGAGCAATGTAAACCACATGGGTAGCCGTGTGATTGCTCCAGGAACGAAGAAGATCAAGTTTTCGAAGCAGGCATAGTGTTCTAGTAAGGGCTGGATGTAGTATCCTGCAGCTGATATCTGCAAGGCAATCAAATAAGGGACACATGCTAATGTCCTCCACCACCATTCTGGCTTCTCGGCCAAGACTGGAGAGTGGAAGCTCTTGTATGCTTTTGCTGGTTTTATGGATGCTCTTCTGCGTAGCTTTGGAAGATTGTATGAGGATTCACCATCTTGAAATTTGAAAAGTGAGGTTGATGTGGAGGAAATGTTCATAGAAGGGATTTCTGCAAATTGAAAGTTCAATGTCAGGGTAGTCAAAATCCCATGTTGAGTCCTAAAAGCCTATTCTTTCATGGGTTCATTCATCAAGTATAGTTTGGTTTCATGTAAAAGGTACTTGTCACACTAGTGGAATCAATCAACTGGGCAAAATCAGGGTAAAATCCACACTTGTATACGCTTCTTCCTGGATATGGTGATTAGATATTCTAACAAGTCAAACCTAATAGATATTGATCATAATTAAGATCATGATTTTGTTATCCAAAAATTTATATTCGACAAGCATATAGAGTGTTATTGGTAATTATATCTATTTCTATAAGATTCTGCAATTTGCTTTTAAACTTTCGACTTACCTTTCCTTTGGATTCCAGATAGAATCCATGGTTTTACTACCTTGTTCATTCTGACGTGAGTTTGAGTTGTAAACTTATGATATGCAATGTAATCTCAATCTAAAAGTGCAGCTAAACTTTTCATTTCTCAAACCTTAGAAATGTGTAACCTACCGCAAGTTAGGTTGGGCCATGGTTTGCCGTTTACGCTTTAAAATGCAGTAAGATATTTTCCATTAAACAAAACACCAGAGCAGAGGTCGTCCAGTCTAATCTTCCTAAAGTTATAAGCTGAAATTCACTATTCCCAACGAAACTGACCTTTAAAGCACATGTAGATATGGAAAATCCACGAACTTTTGTTCCTATAAATGTCCAAATATATACATAACCAAGTCACTTTCAGCCTAGAATTATGCATCTAAGACACAAGGGCACAGCCATTATCACCCATTACTCGATCTTAGTTTGACAGAAGCAAAACGAGAGAACTGACCTTTTGAAGTACTGATATGCTGGATCTGATTCGGTCCATATGGACTTTGGCTGAGGGACAAACTAGGCAATGCAGCTGAGTTAGGCTGGCACACGATGCTGGATCTATCCGGCAAAAAGTTAAGAGTTCGTCTTCCTGTGATCTTGCGGAAACCTTTTCCAACAGTGTCGTTGTACCTGGTTGGAACGAACAGTTAATATGTACATTAGCACCTAGAACCTAGTTAAAGTGATTGGAGCTTCTACTTTCCTATGAAGTATGACAAACATATGTAGCTCTATGGAACTCAAATGACTACCAATTAGCACCTAGAAAATTCCATAAAAAACTACTCCTGAAGTTGGATAACTCAAAGAATAAGCAGCATCTTTTCTCTCAGAATGGGGAAAGGGTAGATACCCATAAAAGAAGAACATATTTTTGAATGAGAAAATAGAATTTTCACAACCACCATAAATATTTCATTCAGATAGCAAGCCTGCAATTTTCTACTTCCCCATAAACATAATCGCACGACGAGGGTTGTATACCAGAAGGGCAGCAACATACTTTCTACAACACTAAACCCTTTGTTTGCAAATCCTCTTCAATTGCATTCTATGAGGTAAAAAGAAGAAAAGGCACCTGTTGTTACAAACAACAATCGATGGAGTTGAAGCTTTGAAATCCTAAACTCGTTCATTCACCTTGAAAAATAACAGAGAACAACAGGAAATGAAGTACTGACTACTGAATTCAAATTGCTGATTATCCTCCACAAAGCTGAGAACAGTACGAGGACAGAGGAATCGTAAAGGAAAAGTAACATCTGTTGGTTTGCACAAAACCCTAAAAATGGTAACATTCTCCACCAAAATCAGCACAATCGTTCTTCAAAACCTTATCAACCAAACCCTGTTCAATCACAAAATCTAGAAAACGCAAAAGGAATTCAACCCTTAAATTAACAAAAATGAAAACCAATGAAATCCAAATAATCGCAACCCTATACCCCCATTTAATTTCGGAGTTACTTCGTTTGCGTTCTATTCGGGATTTCGAGGTTGTTCTTAATCTTGTAGCATGCAAATTCGGCGAATAAGAAGAGAAGGCGAAATAGAAAGTGAGGCGCATACCGATAGCCGACGACGGCAGCGGCAACAGCGGTCGCGAGGTGAGAGGACGACTTCAGGACGTAACGCGATGCCTGACAAGAAGCGGCGGCGGCAGAGGAACGCGCCGCTAAATCGGCAACGGTGGCGGACATCGTCGTCTGTTCTTCTCTCTGCCCTCGTCCAGTTGTTTCTACGGCGAAGAGGAAAGGCGAAAGAAACCAGCTGAGGGTTTTCTTTAGACGCAAGAAAGGAAACAGAGAGCTGGAGGGAGAGGAAGCTGCCCGGCGCCGTTTACAGGATTAAGGAAGGCGCCGGACGCGGCACCGTATTGGTGGATGATATTTTATTTTTGTCATTTTGTCTCTGGAACTGGAACTGGAACTGGAACTGGAACTGGAACATTCGAGGTCATAACTCATAAACATGTTTAAATCAAAATTAAATGAAAAGTATGGATTAGATTAAAGAGTGATATCTCACCAAAAAAACAAATAAAGAGTGATTTATTTATTTGTTTATCAGGAATATATCAGGTAAACTAATTGAGAAATTTTAAAATTAACGTTATAGTACAAATTCAATTTGTATCGAATGTTTTTATATAAATTTTTTAATAGTACAAATTGAAATTAAACATCTAAAGTTATGATACAATTTTAATTTGTACTTCAAATCGCTAGAGTGGGTCGAACTAATTACAATTTTCAGTCTCTTCTTTATTATTTTTGGGGCTAACTCTAGCAAACCTCAAATATATTCTGGTGGACGTCGACAACTGCCAACATTTCGGTTGCCCGCGAATTTTAACTACTAGTGCCAAATTTTGACTGTTAATGGTAGATTCCCCCACCAATCGATAATTCTAGTGATTAGTTGATAATTCTAGTGATTAGTTGTCACGAGCAAGATATTCTTATAATAAATCTTTTAGTATATGGGTATAATATTCTATTAGGCTGACCACAATCCATGAGGTAAATGGGAAAAAATAACAGTTTACTCCTAACCAACCTCCTTCAACCATAGGCCAATTGAGAAGCTAAAAGGCCAAATGAGTGAATTCGAGGACTATTTTATGATGGCAACTCTCTGCCATCGAGTCAGGATTTTCTAGTAACTCAAGCGAGAGAATGACATAGAGTGTCGAAAGACTTTTTAGGTTTATTATTCGATTGATTATCGAAACTAATGTCGAACTTACATATATAAGTTAGAAAAATCTAATACGTAACCCTAGCACTACCCGAACCTTACTAATTAACCTAGACCTCTCGCCCACCAACAGGAGCTAACTTCTTTCCCAATTTCTTAATACGTAACCCACCCCACTACTACTTTTCTACTTGGCTCGTGCTACTAACATACGTAATAACTCTAAAACAAGCTAACCTAAATTAACCCATAATAATATAATTAAGCAACTAACCCCAAAAGCTCAAACCCATATCGTCGAGTAGCTCCTCCCATCGAATGTTTTGCCATCATTTTAGCTTTCATTTGGGTGAGACAAAGAAGAATGCAAAAAAGTTGGGTTCGCCTAATGTGGGAAACACAAGTGATAATCCTAGATGTCTCTAGGGTCATATCTTATGAGATCTTCTAATTCATAACTACTCACACCACTCGTCTATGACACACGAAAACAAGAAAGGTATGTAGGGGTTTTCATTTAAGTAGCAACAGAGAAAAGGCTCAAGATAGGGTGCATAACCATGGGTTATACACTCATCAATAACCAAATCTGGACACTTTATTTAGAAAATTCAGACCTAAGGAAGGAGAATTAAAGACCATTTTTATTTTTTCTAGCTTTCTTAATTGACTCATATCTTTTTCGTTTTAACTCGGATTTTAATTTTTTGCACAGATGGAACGAGTTCATCGTGCTCTACAAAATGAGATCAAGTTTCAATAGTTTTTGAGAAAAAAATATTCTGGCCTCTCGGTACCAACTGCATACCATATGGTATCTTCTTCGTTTTTAATTCATTTTTGAAAATGTTTGCACAGAAGGGACGAGTTCATCATGATCTATTGGATCTACAAATTTCTGGGTGAACAAATTATAGAACCAAAAAATACCACACAATATCATACAATACCACCCTGGTACGGGGTGGTATTGTATGGTATCTTCTTCGTTTTTAATTCGTTTTTGAAAACGTTTGCACAGAAGGGACGAGTTCATCATGATCTATTGGATCTACAAAATTCTGGGTGAACAAATTACAGGACCAAAAAATACCACACAATACCATACAATGTTATTGGATCTCAATTTTTTTTGTTCGAAAAATATATTAAAGTGGATATCATTTTGAAGAGCACAATTAATCTGATCTAACTGTGCAAAAAAATTAAATTTTGACTTAAAATGAGTGAGAAATCGTCCGTCAAAGATTAAAGAGGGGAAAATTAAAGGTTTTCCAGGAGAGAGAGGATGCTGATGTGGACGGGTTACTCATGGTTACTCACCATAAGGTTACTGACCTGATCCATTCCCCAGAGACAAGTAAAGCAAGAAGAGTAAAGTTATTTTGGTTTTTTTTCGACTTATAGATACATAAAAGTAAATATACGTTATTGTAGAAGAGAGCAAACTTGAGTACTATAACGCATACTAGGGCTCAATCACAACATGCATCTATGGTATCACTCTATCCCTTACACTAAAGCTATTCTCTACATGTGCATGTGACTCTTGTGATAGAGATTTAACTAGATAATGCGTGCTTTTGCTTCATACCATTACTTAATTCATGAAGAACAATGAAGTTAGGATAGCATAATTAACTTTGTGTTTCTACAAACTATAATCAATTTTCTATATATCATCGATGATCTAAGAATCAAGCACTGATACTACTCGAGCTATAGATGATTGATCATTCCCTCTATACTCATATAGTCTCAATGGAGTATCACTAGAGGGTAATTTCTTATCAATCTAGATAATACTAAGCACAATGCATATAGTAGCATACTATAGAATCACAAGCATCAATGATAAAGAAGCATTCATACTATATAAAAGACAAAGACCATCACATAAGCATCAAAACATAGACAATAGGCATCAAAATTCATATAGACAACACACAAGCATGAAATGAAATCATAGCATTCATTCACATAACAATAAACAAGTTCACATCTTCATATAATCAATTTCGAACTAGCTACATATAAGAGAAGGAGGGTATCACCATCGTTGATGACAACATCTCACGTGCAGACTCTCTTAGGAAAGCTAAGCTCTTGCTCGAGTAGAGTACAAAAGTTTTTGTGTGTTTGATTGTTAGATCCCAGCAAAAAGTCATGCCCTCTATTAATAGGGGAAGAAGCCAACCGAAAATTTCCTAAATCGACTATGACAGGGTCTCCTTCTCCTTTTGGAATACGTAAACTTCCCAACAAGGCTAGGGTTTAGCGGCAGTAGGGAGTCGCTTAGAACGCACTTGTTTCTTCGTGGGCTGGGATCCATTGACCTTGGACAATCCTCCTCCATCGGCGGTTGGACCCTATGTCGCGCCGCCACTAGTTTCTTCATCAGTTTGGACTGAGTCTTCTTTCTATGGGCTTTTCTTGAGATTATTCAGCAACCTAGTTGACTTCTCCATCATTGGACCTCATCTCACGTATGCTCTATATTCTTCTCTTTATGGCTCGTTTGATCCTCCAGAGTTCTCTAATGCTTGATCCGGTTTTCCATAGGTTGTTTTGTACCTTCAAAACCATCAAAAACCAAACCCAGAAGGCATTAAAGAGTACATTAACATTACCTAGGTCTATAGGTGTCAAAACATAGTCCGACCCGATTAACCCGCCCGATCAACCCAACCCGCAACCCGACCGTAACCCGAATTGACTAAAAGTCAACAACCCGTAACCCGCCCGACCCGCAACCCGATTGACCCGCAACCCAACTAACCCGCAACCCGACTGACCCGCAACCCGATTAACCCGAACCCGATTGACCCGCAACCCGACTAACCCGCAACCCGATTAACCTGAACCCGATTGACCCGAACCCGACTAACCCGTAACCCGACCGACTCAACCCGAATTTCATCTAATCCACTTGAATAATTATAAAAATATACAATACATAGTTTTTCAAAATAAAGTTTTTCATTCTAAACTTAAGTAAAATTATTTTTTCATTTCGTATAAGAAATTTAAAAAATATGAAACTCACTTGATATTACGTATTTTAAGAAAATTACCAAAATTGAAACATGAAGGTCACTTGAGATCATGACAATATTAATATAATATATAAATTAAAATTTTGGTTAATTTAACTATTCAATAAAATTATCAATTAAATATAAATAAAGTAAAGTAATGTATTTGGTAATTTGATGTTTTTAAAAGAAGAGGGAAATTTTGGTGTATTCAAGTTTTTGGGAAGAGAAAGAAGAGGGAAATTTGGTTTTTTGAATTTTTTTAGAAAAAAAACAAGTGGGAATTTTGGTGGTTTTGATATGTGGGAAGAGAAAAAAGTGGGAAAGTTTGATTCTTTTGATTATGAAAGAGAAATAAGGAGGGAAACTTTTGACTTTTCAACTTTTTGTAGAATGAAAGAAGAGGGTAAATTGGTTCTTTCAATTTTATGGAAGAGAAAGAGGAGGGAAAATTGAGTTTTTCTAATGTATGGAAGGAGAAAGAAGGAGTGAATTTTTAATATTTTTGTGAAAAGAAAGAAGAAAACAAATTTGGTGTTTTCAATTTTTTGGTTTTTCATAATTTTAGCTTTTGAAATATGAATCTTTAACTTTTATATGGAGGGAATGACTAGTTAAAATTATTATTATATGCTTTGAAGGCTAATATGTATATATGTATGTAATTGTTTATGGGCTAATAAATGAATTAACCATTAGTTACAACAATTTATACTAAACTTGATAAGTAATCTTTGACGGTTCGTTGTTTAGGATATAAAGTATATGGTTAGGGTATAAGGTAGAAGGTACATATGGTTTAGGGTGTATATGGTTAGGGTATAAGATATTGATGGTTTTGACGGTTCTAAGTTTTTTATTAACATATGTTCACTTGAAGTCATTTGAAGTCTTTAACGGCAGGAGATCCCTTTTTAATTTATGTTTATGGTACGTGGTTAGGGTACAAGGTATATGGTGTAAAGTATAGGATATATGGTTAGGGTATAACAATTAGCAAATATCACTTTTTATCTATGTTTTGAAAATCAAAGTATGAATTTCACTTTTAAATTAACTATACTAGCAAAATCACAACTCAAGGACATATGGTTAGGGTATTGGTTATGTGGTTAGTGTATAATGTATTGATGGTTTAGGGTATACAATCAACAACATATACTAACTTAATATTGTTGATTGAGGGTAAGGCTAAGTGTATAGGATATATGCTATTGAGTAAGTTATGATTGAAGTCACAATAATTTTACTAAATTTGATAGCTAATCTTTAATGGTTCAATTTTTAGGATAATTCGAACAATTTTACAAATAATTCATTTGGCAACAGTTTACTGAAGTTATTTGGGCAATGAGTTATTTTGAAATAACTCCTTTTATCACTATGCTTTTGCCAATTACCATACGCCAAAAACCAGATTTGCATGGTTATACTAAACGAGATACTTTAATTCAATTACTACTGAATTAATACTAAAATATCAAATAAACAATTAACGGTGTCTTTTGGTTGCAAATATTGATATCACAATTACTATTAGCTATAATACTTTACCAATTATGATTAATTACATAACAAGTTTGCAAGTCTACAAATTGATTTAAATTTTTGACTAGTTTTTTTCAAAAAAATAAAGTATATATACGAGGTAGAAATAAATTGGTTAAAAAGTTGAGGAAATATTTTAAATTAGTGTAATAAAATGTGTAAGTTGGTAATGAGTAATGAGTTAAGTTACTTGATGCGTTGGCCCGAACAACCCGAAACCCGACCCCCCCGCAACCCGTCCGACCCAAAACCCGATGAACCCGCAACCCGACTAACCCGCAACCCGTTTGAACCCGCACCCGATGAACCCGCAACCCGTTTGAACCCGAACCCGATTGAACCCAGCCCGAACCCGCCCGAACCCGCCCGATTGACACCTATACCTAGGTCTAATAAGACTCATTGATCAAATAGCTGTGATTTTGATATGAAATACTATTGAAGTGACTAAAGCTGTCCTGATAGAAGAGGAAAATGTATCAAGAATGAGAGTGACAAACACTATAAATAAACTATTATCACCGTCACTAACCAGAAAGCAAAATTTGTAGGAAACCATGGAATGGTCATGCCCCGGGCGGTATGTTGCATGCAACGGCTACAATATCGGCAATTCGTGCACGGGAAGCCCACCACCCAATGGCGTTGTCCCATTTTTTTTGTTTTAAATTAGTTAAAATTGTGTGTTTTGTTTGTTTTTGCGCTTTTTCAGCTAACGAAGTTCATTTCGGTATAAGTTTCGACCGTTTTATTGATTTTGATATTTGAAGATAAAAAGATCTACATTCAATGAACAATTTCAGCGCATAGCATCCTAGTGGACCACTTTGTACGTGTTGGGAGATATTAAGGCTCGACTGCTAGGCTCCAGAAACGGGAATGATCAGAGGCTAGAAAAAAAACCGGATTCAGCAGCCCAAAGTTCAAAATGGCGCTTTGGCCACCGAATTGGTACTAGTCGAGAAAACACCAAGATCTTTGCGAATATGGTTATCATTGTGACCAAACTAGAGGAGGTTGATTGTGACTCAAAGAAATGCTGGTAGACTGCCCTCTCTCCCTAAACACCCTAATATAAAGTTTATAAATAGACTTTTAGGTTGGGATGACAGTATAACCCGAATCCACAAGTACCCTACTTGACCCAACCCGGTCAACGCCGGTAAAACCCACTTTGACGGGTTGCTGGCTGGGTTTGGGTTTTAACCCGCTATACTTTTTGAGGGTTGGGTTTGTTTGTAGTCATATCCAACCCGTGGGTACCCCACGACCCATGGAACCCTTAACTAATTAAATATAATTTCTAAACTAATTCCTCACACATTTAATTGATCATATTGTTTGTGTATGTTTGTCTTTGATATTAAACAATTAGTATGAATGACTTGTGAGTTAGTGTGTATGTAGTAGACAATAGTAGTGAAAACTAGTGTAATTGCATCTTTGTACATGAACCCATGGGTACTCATGAACCCGCGGATACCCATCGGGTTGAGTTGGGTTGGGTTTGAGTTTTCCAAATCTAGTGGGTTTTACCCCGAGTTTTTTTGGTGGATAAACTCATGGATTTGGGTTTGGGTTTGGCATAACACGCCCAAACCCGATCCATTGTCATCCCTACTATTAGGATGCAGGAGTCAGGAGCAGTGATAGGAGGCATTAGAATTTAGAGGATCATTACTCTGCCTACAGAGTGAATAACCCGACCTAGAATGACACCGGCTACGAAGGAAAAAAATTGACAACCTAGTCTCTGGCCGCCACTCTAGAGAACTCCTTGGGTTATTATTTTGACTGATATACCCTTTGGAACTCGTCCCCATATTCGGCTAGTTCCCTTAGTTGCGTAAATAGGCGAATCCTAGAGGTTCTAGACTATGTATTCTTCGATTTGGCATATGTATGATGAGTTAATTCCTTTATCTTTCTGTTTGTTATTTCGTTTAGTTATTATTGATTTGATTGTGTTCTTAACACGAGGACTGATTTCATAGGCCATATCCTCGAACCCAACATCATGGTTGAAATAGACTGGACATGGCGGTCCCTCATGATCGATCCTCATTCGATCTAATTGCATAGACTCCCTCAAAGGAGACATCTGTAGTGTCATAATATCTTTGCATACTAGATCAAGATTGCCACGGCTTATGTTAGGAGTAAACCTAACAAAGACCAAATAGCTCATATGTTGTCATGATATAAGTTACGAGTCTAAGGAACTCAAGGGGGAGCTTGCCTATGCAATGCCTCGTCCTCCGGCTTTCTCCACTTGCCAGTAGGTTTTTGTTTTCTGCATTGTTCTTAATTTTGATTTTGTAAAACCAAGGGAAATTTTATTAAGACGGACGAAACTCCTATACTACTAAATGAGAAAGACGATTTGATACACAACATATTGGGGGTGGACACGTGAGTGGTTAATTAGTGATTTGATATCGATATGCCAGCAAATTATCTGATTGGCAGTGAGCGGGTGATTGATGTGGCTGGATTGGGGATTTACAAGTCTCCTACTTGCACTTATTCGACTGCATTGTAATTTCCCCGACGACGCACACCATATTTTTAGAAGGAAAAAAAGTTGTTTCTTGTTTAAACAATCGAATAGTCATCATCCTAACCACGTTACACACGGACCATCAACTTTTAAAGGCTATAATAAAGAATAATTTGGACTACTATTATTTGTTACTATGTTGTGTAATATCCATTAGATATTATGATACAAATTATAAATAATTAATTGCATCAAGTTGTTAAAATGTGTCGATTATCTCTACACAGTTCATTAATGAAGTAATGAAAATTTTGATGAAAATACGTCATAGATTCAGAGGAGACAAAGCGAGAAATGTATAAATTGTTTCTATCTTAAGAATTTGCGAGTAATCTATTATAAATGTTATTCTACATGTTCAATGGTCAGTTGAAAAATTGCTTTTGCAGGTTAACCCACAACCTAACCATACCCATTTGCCACCCACCAACCCAACTCGAAGAAGAATATGGGTGGAGAGCAATTATACGAACTCACTAATAAACAAGTGGGTCAATTTGAAACCAAAACCGAACTAACCTGCCCAATCCCTATAGGACCTGCGTAAAAAAACCTAACTCCAGCTCTCCAGCTGATACATCCTTGATGATCTAGACCATGAAACTCCTCTATGATCATCAAGTCCTTTGTAGTAAACCCCCGAGCTTTCTACCACTCGACTGCAATGTTACAAAAGAAACTTAGAACATGAACTTTCTTATAAGAAGATTATACATGACCATTGGAGAAGAAAAAAGGAAAACTGCAATCTAGCTCGCTTAGGTTTTGCTTGATAGATTTCTTGACTCCCTTGATTTCTACAATTCACAAAATCTAACTTCCTTAATCTGTCAACATGTTTTGACTTCTGAATTACTACTCATGTGAAGCTCTCAAGCTATCATACATAGCAAGTGAGGCATATATACAAAACATTGCAGGAATCCCCTTACAAACAAAGGAGGAGGAAGAAGAAGAAGAACGGATGAATGCTGAATGAGTGAGCTTTTTATGAGTTTTGGGTTAGCTATGAATGAATGAGACTGAAGCCATCTCCCTCTGCCACAACAATTACTTTGGACAAAGATTCAATAGATGTTTCTGAGTGAAGATACTTCAAAATCAGAACCATGAAGCTGCATAATATGTTCCATCCAATAAACAAAAGAAATAAACATCGACGCACCGACCGCTCATCGGCCTGGGCTACCGCCGCGCCACCGTCGGATAGCTTTAAAAACTCCCTAATCCGATTATGTCTTAATGAAATCAATCTTCCCGTTCATTGTGTTGCTCCGATGCCGCAGCAGCGACAGCTTCCGTACCATCGGGCAAGTAATACCTCCGATCACCACGTGCGTCGTCGGCTTCGGCGTAGACTCCTCCGACGAATTGGATGTCGTCCGGAAGGGATTCAGCGGCGGCGAATGGGAAGGCGATGGAGATGGCGATGGCCAGGCTGGAGTCCCCATCTTCAGCATCCGATCCTTGGTGAAGCTATTGGTATATCCCAAATTGGCAGCCGCCGCAGCCGCAGCCAGTTTCTCACTGTCGGAAATCCGAAGCTCGTTGAGATCCGCCACCGCCGCCGCCTGATTTGACCGCTCATCCATCCGCGGCTTGTGCAGAACAGGCGTGGAGTTTGACTTGTGCAGCGGGTGCTCCGGATGATGATTCTGATCCCCAGGGGGCGGCGGAGAGGGGACGTGGCTGGGCCACCGTTTGAACTGGCTGAAGGAGTTGACGAACGGCTGCTGCGGCGGGTCAGGGGAGCCGCCGAGCAGAGGAGGGAACGAGGAGACCGAATCGATGTCGTCGATGAAAGTAGGGGGATCGTCAGCGGCGGAGTGGCTGGGATCTAAAGAAGCACTTCTGCCGCGCAATCGACCGTGGAGGCTCTGAGATTCCTCCCTTTGCTCTATTCTTCCCCGATCTCCTTTGGCGCCGGTGCCGTGCCTGCTGAACTGGTTGATGCTCTCGTCTAGTCTCATGGATGCGCCCCCTCCGCCGCGTCCCGCCGGGCCGACGACTTTCCCTGCTTTTTCTGGGTTAGATAAGGGCGGAGAGTGTTAGGAGAAGCAAATTCTTCAAGGAAAGAAGGATGTAAAACAACAAATATTAGTAGCTAGATTTTTATGTTGACTTTTCTTCCCATTTTTATCACAAGTCGCTTTGCCGATCTGAGCAAAATACAATTTTATTAAATGAATTTACCATTAATATTTCAGTTTTCACAGAGGCGCAAGTGCGAAGAAGCACACCAATCGGTACCTGCCAGAAAGATCAATCCATAGTTGACCAATTCTTGTGTTAATTGCTCAGCAACTTTAGGGGAAGCTGGGAAGTGGGAACCATGGTGCAAACTTACACCGGTTGGCTACATTGACCACTATGTTATGTTTTTCTTTAACCAGTCAAAACGATTCGGCACCTTTCACTCATCGTTTTATTTTAGTTAAGTAAGAAGTATATAAATGAACAGTTTTTTTTATTTTTTATAATGGCGCCTCAATTTCTTAAATATGAAATAAATGGGGTTGTTCATACATATTGTAATTTAAAAGAAAATGACTCAAAATAAATGAAAATATTTCTCAATTTATTGTCATAAAAACAAATTGGGGCGTGCGGGCTCCAATTGGGATTTCAAGAAGGCAAAATGACAAGTGTTAAATTAGCTAAAAACCTTCAAGTTAGTATCATAATTTAATTGGGTGTGGACCAATTACTCACCACCACGTATCTTAATATATTCTCGGCGAGGAACACCCTGAACCATTACATATAGTCCATGTGAGCACAATGGAGTTGGGACAACCACCTCGCAGCACACGGGTGGGAATCATCGATTGAGGTGAGTGGCTCCCATGTGCATGTATCTAAAGGGACTATCACTGGAAATTGCTCTCACCCCACACAACTATTAAGTCGTTCCAACCTCCAAGATCACCTCCCAAAGTAAGTCATCCGCAAAGTGGTCCTATCGAACTCCCAATATAAGTATGCTTGCATAGCTCCCGATCGATGAGGAAACATCACTCCTCCTAAAATTAGCATGATGTATGCTCGCTCAAATTGACACGTCGTCTGATTTGAAGCTCCGTTGCGAAGATGGATAAGGCATTTCTAACCCAAGAGTACTTTACACGTCCATTCACAAGATCTAATATCATCTCATTATGAGGAAGCTTCTCAAGTAAGTCCATGCATAACTCATTCCATAACGAGTTTGGCATATTTAAGATCACATCATGCTCTACTGATAGTCCTGTAAGAATTACAACATCCTTCAAAGAAATAGTACACTCACCACAAGAAAGATGAAAGGTTGTGGTCTCTAGCTGACAAGAAATACTATTGTCCTAATCAAGTTGCAATCACAGTTTAGCGGTGCAAGCTTTTTAACAGTATACAAACCAAGACCCCGAGGTATGACTCATCCTCCTCGTAGTACTTGCCTAATATAGATGTATCCCAAGTCTTATATGGACGAACCAAAGCCTATGCATCATCATGTAACTAATTAAGAAAAAAATAACGATCTAATGAATTTTATAAATAAATCAATCTAACGCCAGTCACTAATCAAACTATATACTACTAATTCATACTAACTCAAATTAAATTAACTAACTTTTAACTCATAAATTAAAGTACCTACCTCATTCGTCCAAACCAAATCGGCTCAATTTTTACCATCCGCCCATAATAATTCGTTGTCTTCTATGGTCAACAAAAAGGAGAAGAAGGGTCAGATGAGGCGAAAAACTCTTAGATCAGATTCTTTTGCTAGCTGAAGAAAGGTTATCGGTGACTTTTGTAATTTTCGGTGATTGTTTGGTGGGGAGTAGAGGAGGAATAATGAGATCAAGTGTGGTGGATTTAAAGGATTTATGGGCGAAGAGAAAGACGAATTAGGGTGTGGGAAGATTAATAGGGGCATGCATGCTAATTGATCCTTCCCTCGCTCCAACTTTTTTTTTTTTTTGTCTGGCTTTAGGTCTTTTTTTCCTCTAGAGCAAACCCAATTGGAGTGTGCGCAACTTAATTTGTTTTTTGTACAGTATATAGAAAATATTTAATAAACAATGATATTTGGGTAAAATTTATTAAAAATACTATATTTATGGAAAAACCCAAAATAATGAAGGTTACAAAGAAAAATACAAATAACCATTTGTATGCAAAATGAAGCTCTCCCATTGAATAAAAGACACAACTATACCATCATGTCAATGTTGCAAATGATTAGGGTATAGAGCTTCTAGCCGGCCCAAATGGGGTAGATGAACATGGTCACGATGATGACCAAGAAAGTTCTGATGATGATTATGGCCATCCTCTGATGAACCACATCAAATAGTTGTTCAACCTAGTATCCCGATACACTTACAATGCTGAAAATGAGGATAAAGATCTGACAACCATAATCAAACCTCGATTTTAGTTGGAGTGAACTTGGAGAAAGTTGTTGCAGAGGCTAACAAAAAGACTGAGAGACCAATAAAGATGGGTTCAAGTCTCTGTCCAGGCTGGCTAGCAACCCATTGGACTTCCAAGGCAAGAAATCCATCAAAAGAAGTAGCAAATACTATGTTCAAACATTTACAAGTTGTTGCACTTCTCTGTTAGTAATTTTAAACTGAACATGTTATGACTCAAACCCTTTGTTGTGTTTGGTGTCTGAATAGGAATGAGTTGATCTTTCAAGGAAGCTGTGCAACTCTTATCCATCACGCGGTCCACCCTCTTTGCCCAGACAAGCCAGCTTGCAATCAAATAACCAATTATACAACATACAACCTGTGGTGTGGAAGAGTAGCGACCCTCAAACTATTATACTCATGGGGTACACAATACTCCAAGTACTCTTAGTGAGATATCTCTATCTAGACCACAAATTAAACCAATTTTGAAGTATGATACTATACCCTTAGCTCTAATGGATAAACCCAAAATCTCAATTCATTAAACCTAAAATCGAGAAGTTCAATTCAGTAAAAAATAATAATTCACCGTTTGGATTTTTTCCCAATATACCACCTAAGAACTAAAAAAATCACAAAAGTACCACCATTTCCAAAAAATAATATATATATCACCCTTCGCAAAGACTGCATCCCCTATGGCAGTTAAAACGCAAACCGTTGGGGGGTTGCGGTTTGTGTTTTTGACGCCAAGAGATCGCATGTGAACGTTTTGGATCCCCCCGCGATTCAGCGGTGGACCGTGAGCCACGTCATCAATCCGCGTCTCTCCCGCTCAAATCGCGCCTCACACCATTTTTTTATTTCGAACTTTGAAACCGTGGGCGGGCCACGCGGTTTCGTTTTCAGAATCGCTCCCCCCCCCCTCCCCCACGGTCTGCTTCCTATGCAAACCCACTTCCACTCTAAATTTCTCCACACCAAACCAACGTCTCTCTCTCTCTCTCTCTCTCTCTCAGATTTTATCTTCACCCATCCCCCTCCACCCAAAACTTAAGAAATTGTCGTCTGTTGGTTGCATCTAAGTCTGTGCCATCAGAAAACATTTTTTAAAATTTTTTCCTTAAAAACATGTCGAACATCTGTCCGCCTTTTGTGAAAAATGGACCAAGATTGGTACTATCAAGAAAAAGTATAGGATGATGACTACTATCAAGTTGTACGTATTCACTATTCTTTATTTATTTTAGTTCTTATAGTTGCATGGTAATTCATCTATATACTAATTAATTCCTTTTTGTTATGCTATTGTAGGTTGGGGTGGATGCAGATATATATGATTAAAGATATTATCTTGACCAAGGACCCATGATCCAAGTATTTTGTACGACCAACCTAACCATCATTCAAGGGATGTTTGGAACAATTCGCCGGTACATATAATTCTTCAACCTTTTTCATAGTTTATTTGTTAACGTACTTAATGGTTTATAATATAATTTTGTAAATGGTTAATCGTTTTGGGTATTTTCAATGATTTGGACTGCAATGTGACACTTACCTAGACTGTGCTTGTAAAGAGAAGCATGTTTAAGGAAATGAGGTCTTAAGCGATCATCATGATCCTCCCATTCCCTAGGAAAATGAGCTCTTAAGCGATCATCGAATCCCCCTTTTTTGTGAAATGGATGTGTTTCTAAAGAGATGTTTACCTCACCTAAGAGTCTAACGAGTTCACTTTTCTTTGCTTAAATGATTGAAAACAACCAATACGATTTACAAAATAGTATAACAGATATATGTGTATATCTTTCTAAAAACCTATGGTATTCATATTGTTAATTTTAATTGTTTGGTATAATGTTTGGACTTTGCTACGGTGACATGCATGTCACAGTAACTTGCACTTTTATGTCAACCTTATATAGGATTAGGTCGACCTAATCTGCACTTTTAAGTCGACCTTATATAGGATTAGGTCGACCTAATATGCTGTTTCAGTTTTGTGAGGTTCAACAATGCGGCTGACCTTTTATAGCAAATGGTCGACCTCTTTGGGAAGTGATGTGAGTGGTTCTTTTGCTCATACAAATTACGTTTCAAACCAACAGAATTAGTCATAAATAATGATAACAAGGACTCATAACTTCTTAACATAACAACTAAAAAAACTAACAAGCAATACAATAAAACACAAATCATAATTGTTTACACAGTTTTAAAATCTAAAACCACAATCGTTGTTAACACTTAACAATAAAAACATACAATCTAAAATCGTCGAGTTCCTACTCCTGTCCCCTCTCTCCCTCATCCACATTTTCTTCATTGGTGTTGCTAGCATTGTGGTAGTCGAAAGTTACGGTGACATGCATGTATCTTCCACTAAAAGATCGAAACTCATCTCGCATCTCATTCACGGTCACCTGCTGTGTGCTCATCTGGGTGGTCATTTTCCCCATGTAGTTGTACATGCCAGTCATTTGGGTGGAAATCTGGCCCATATAGTCATACATGCCATCCATGCGCTTCCCAAAAGGTCGACCATTTGCTATAAAAGGTCAACGATGTCGTTGAACCTCACAAAACTGAAACGATATATTAGGTCGACCTAATCCAATATAAGGTCGACCTAAAACTGCATATTAGGTCGACCTAATCCTATATAAGGTCGACCTAAAACTGCATATTAGGTCGACCTAATCCTATATAAGGTCGACCTAAAAGTGCAAGTTACGGTGACATGCATGTCACCATAGGCATGCCCATAATGTTTATGTGTATATCTTTCAAATGTTATTCATTTCAGTTAATTGAGTTTGTTTGTTATAATGAATTTATGTGTATATCTTGCAAATGGCATTCATTTTGTTAATTTCAATTGTTTGTTATAATGGATTTATGTGTTTATAAATCATAAACTTAGAGTTTTAATTTATTTATTAGAGTGCACACCATATTATCCGCCATAGGGGTACAAGAAATGTCCTCCATATAACGATGCTATATTGCCCTA